CGTCATTCCGTCTTGTCCCTCTGCAGCAGCTGCTTCCCAAAGGGCAGTGTCCTGGCCTGCAAAGAGCTTCCACGGCCTCCAAGGCCTCCCCGGCAGCGTAGCCCACTCTGAGAGGGCAGGTTCGGCTCCCCAGGGCATAACCCAAGGGGGTGCCACAAGGCAAAAGGGACCCTGCAGCCTTGCGGGAGCTAGGAGGGAGCTGGAGGCCTCAGAGAGGGAGCTGGGGAGCCCTGGGGGACAGCAAGGCAGAGTTGTTCTGCAACCAGGCCTAAATCCAGATGTTCCCCTCAGCAACCCACACCATGGCCACGGATCTCAAGCCTGAATAATGGAACTAGGGCAGAATCCTCTGATATCCTCCCCCACACCCTGGTGCCCCCCCCTTCCTGCCCAAGCCCCCCAGGCCTGTCCCATGTGCCCCAATGTATCCCTCCCCCTCGCAGGCTATTCCCAGAGCGCCTGTATCCCTTTTAACACCCTATTGAATAAATCCACAGAGGGGAAAATCGAGGCTGCGAGGCAAAAGCAGGAGAAGCGGCACACGGGGCTGCCCGACTCCACGAAAGCAAAGAGAGCCCTTGGCAATGGCCACCTCCCTATTTATAACGTGATTAGTGGATGTTCAGCTTTAATAACGTATGAAGCATTTGGGGAAATACATTAGTGCTAAATACTTAAGCGAGGAGACTCTGACAAGCGAGGAGACTCTGACGAGCCATTCTGTACAGGAGCTCACAGCCACGCTGGGCCAAGCGCCTCCCCCGCTCCCCCCCTGACTTACTCAGTGCTAGCAATTAGCAAGCGTCCTACAAAGTGCCGTATGAATTACTAAAGATGGTGTTGGACTGGAAGGGGCTTAGGCTGCTTGCTTGCTAAGTGGCTCTCAGTCACCCGACGTGACCCAAAACCCCTGCGCTGCTATTTGGTCGTGGCCTCCAGACTCCTTGGATTCTCCGCTTTATTCTGCGGGGACCAAACTCGTCTCCGGCTGAAGTCACCCAAGCAATGGATTTGGCCGTTCGTTCTGGTTGTGTCTCAGAATGATTCATCTCCTATCCTTTGAGCACTTGACTTCCCAACCTTAATGTTCTTTTCGAGTAGTTTTTGGTGCATAATTTCCTCGGTTTTTGTAGAAGCACACTGAAACAGGTTCCCTCCTCTCCATTTATGTGCCCAGAGCCACAGCAGTTAGGAGCAACAATTGCCCCTTTAGCCCTGGGCTGGAGCATGCCCAGTGCAGATGGAATCTTCAGAGACTTTAGTTGCCAAACTCTAACAAGTGTCTACTGACAAAGTGCAAACAGAGATTTTTCAGAGGCTCATTATTTGGCCAAATGTACGTGGGGTCCCCCCCCCATGGAAATAGCAAGACACATCCCTGACACAAAGGCCATCCCTTTGCCACATTTCAAGTCCCTGCTCCAAAGCATGGCGGTGTTTCTCAGTAAAACAGTCATAATAATGACCTTAACATGGGCATGTATTTTTCCCGAATCGTGAACAATTTTTGCTGAAACTTTTCAAAATAATGCAGCCCGATGCTGCCGCCCCAGCAGGACAAAATCTCAGCCTAAGCAGTTAACATTTGGCTAGGTTATAAGCAACTGAAAACAAGGGCTTGTAGTGGGAAGTGGTGGGCAACCTTAACTAGAGGTGGTGCTACCCGTTCCGCCTATGATCAGAAAAATAGAAAACAGATCAATAAGGGCCAGATTCTGATACCCTAACTCACACGGAGCAGTTACTGCCCTGGGTGACTAGCTCCATGGATTTCAGAGGGACTATTCAAATGGGAAGGTAGCACTCAACTAAAGGGCAGCAAAGTCTGGCCCTAGATAAATAAATATAAAGATGAAATGTCTCCTGCTTGGCCCCGTTCTCCTGACCAGTTTCCCTACAAGGCTGAGGGGTGTGATAGCTCAGGGTACAGTTAGGACTGAGAGAAGTGGGAAGCCTCTTCATGGGACTGTATAGCTAAATAGATTCCGAGCAATGTTTCTTTTGAACTAGGAGGGGGAGGATGGGTGAAGCCGAGGCAGCCATAGTTGATGTGGGCACCCAAATAGTGAGGCCAGAGATTCCTGAGATGGTTGTGGTTAAGGAGCTCTGTTCTTATCCGGAGTCGCCAGCTTCCCTTGACTCTTCCCAGTCCCCATTTAGCCCTGGGCGTGACACAGGGACTGCCCTGCTCTCATTGGATGGTAATCTCCTTCTGGCAAGGGGCCACAATCAGGTATCTGTGCTAGTATTTTTTGTGAGGTGATTAAGGGGTGTTCTAGTTGCTGATTAAGACATGGCTTTGCGTGTTTATGTCCTCGCACTCCACTTTTACACGAGTCTGGATAACATATCTCGCCTACTCTGTGCATCCCCCTCTAGTGGCTGGTCCACATGGAAGATAACAGTCTACTGCTGCTACTAGCTAATAGAATTGCTCCCTTAGCTCAAGTGGTAGCCGCTCATGCTGACGTTCCCTGGTTCAAACCCAGGTCAGGGACGGAGAATCAACAAA